ATCAATAAATCTTATCTTATACCTTTTGGCTAGTCCATACCACATAGTCTGTTAGCGCATTAAAGATTCAATTTCAGGTAATTTCTTTACATTTTATCTTTTACATGAAATAATTGATACTCTCCTTAATTGATTGAATGACTGATACTTTTGCTGATGTGTTCCTTGAAAAAAAGTAAACCTGTGTAAAAGTTAGACTGGGATCAAAGGTGAGCTTATCCAAGTTTTATGGCTCAGAAGCCTGGTGCCATCAATGGATTCAATACACAACTGATTATTTCAGGACGATTATGTGTTATTTTAATTAGGAGGCAGGTCGTCGCATTACACCCCTATTTGCATAAAGAAAACAATACAATACAAAACAAAATTAGATCGACCGCTGATTTATTCATTAAACATGTAATGGTATGATATTATTTACTCTAGAGTGTACTTGATTTTTAGTTGTTTTTTTTTTTTCTTTTTTTTTAACCGGATAGGGAATAATGACAATATGTAATAAGATTCTGCTTCATACAGTTCAAATAGAAAAGCGTATTTCTTAAATTTCAAAATAGTATTATTTTTAAATGTTTAAAATTTCATTTATTGAATTCAACATTCCCTTGACTGCATTGAGTTTTTTGTTTTTTTGTTGTTGTTTTTTTGTTTTTTTTTGTTTTTGTTTTTTTTTTTGTTTTGGCCAAATAAGACAAGACAAAAGTGTTTCCAAACAATGCTAATCATTATAAATTGCAGCATGTAATAAACATAAGCATAATATAAAGACTCTTAGATAATATGACATTACAAAAGACAAAATTGTTTCCTAACAATGTCATTGATTATAAATTTCAACATGTAATACTGAAAAATTACATATTTTCGTGCGGTCAAATTTTCTTGGTTTGAGAGAAAACTATGGGTTGATGAGGATTTGATTTCGTGCATGAAGATTTTTTGAGTAGTTCTGAACATGGCATTTTACATTTCCTGGTGGACATGAATTCGTAGGTCTCTTCAATAAAGAAAAAACAATCGTTTTTAGGGTCCATACGATGACTTTGGTACCTAAGAAGTACAATATTGACCGAACCTAAATGGAGTTCAGATCATCAGATTTTCATAAAAATTTCGTAATTCTTTGTCCCGATTAGTATAGAAATAAAATCGCAAAGTGGTGGATAAGGAAGACTAGTGGAATTTGTTTTTCGCAATGAAAATAATGGGGTAGCGCTTCGGTGCATGAATTGTAGGGTAGAATGGTTTGCACTAATGCAAGCACTTCCTCCAATCCCATTATGTTTAACTCGTACATACATTATTATAGTCTATTTATTAGTTTAGAAGGTAAGAATATTTGCTAAATGTCGACTCCTTCGGAAGTGCATGCTTTGTATAACCATTCAGACTCAAAACTTTCTTACGTCTCTCTTATTCCAAAATATTTTCTTTCATATTGGTAACCAGTCGACACATTAAGAACATTCCAATAAGTTTACGTCACCAATGCCTGGCTAACCGAGTTCTGCTCTATTAAAGACTTCACCAAAAATAAACTTCCTTTATTTGCAGAACTCAAGCGTCACATTTTCTAGTTACATATTATAAGACAATTTTTAACTACTCCAGACAATGACTGATTTTAAAGATTATTGGATCTTGTGCATATTTTCTGTTGTAACTTCAGACAGTAAGTTTCAATCTTTGAATAGTCCTCTGTTTATAGCGAAGTAATTTTTGGAATCAAAACATTTTGAATGGGTTGTACAGCAGCTTTTATAATATTTTAACTGACAGTTAAGGTAGCATTTATGTTTTTACTAGAAAGAAAATTGTTTGATAATTTTTTAGTCTAATGTATAACTAGTTTCAAGTGTGATACAACATAATTTGTCGCCTTGTATATCCATGTATAAAATTTAGCTGGCGACGATATATTCTGATGTTAAAGTCATATTCTTCACCGATGCATAAAATCGACCAAGAACGTAACGTCGTCAGTTCAAGGTTAGGAGTTAAAAAGTTTTCTGTTGAGTGTTACAATGAGGGCGATATGTATTATTTCTTTTAAAAGATTGGGGATCTGTCATCAATATTGTTCAAAGATTAAATCAGGGATTTTGATTTACATAAAACCCTAAAAAATCACCATAGGAAAAGGATAACTGATATTAATAAGAAAGGATTTAAATGATACATATATATACTCAAGTGTCACATTGAAGATCGGGAACTTGTGAAGTATCTTTGTTCATATGAAATGTATCGGTTAATTTATTTCCCTTTTACTTGTTAAGTTATAATGAAGAGAAATGGTTCCAGACCATCCATTTCCTCCCCACACTTTTATTTTTATTAATATAGTCATGAGCTTACGAATAACTGTATCCATAAGAAAATTAGTCCTGAGTTGAGATATGGTTCAGATATGCCATTCTGTTAACCTATTTCTGCAGATTTGAGTTGGATCGTACCAAAGACAAAAATGACCGCAAATTTTCTCTCTTTCAAATATTTTTGTATATGTTGTTTAAAACTGCTCCTATTCATATTCTAATATATTACTTGATGACGTTATGTAGATTTGCAAGAATGTTTCAGAATTTTCTTTCCCATCCTAGGGGCCTTTTGTGGGTAATAAAAAACATGGGATTTTTACAAAAAACTATGTTCTCAGAACTCCTCTTACATTTTACATTGTAGCATAATCATCTTTTGAAAAAAAAAAAAAAGATTAATGATATCTCAATGATGTGTCATGAGGTTTCAAATTCACCCTGAGGCCACAGGGAGTAAAAAACCTACATTCTACGAGAATTTGGAGTTCAGAATTTATCTTATATTTTATACAGTAGCTTAATCATCTTTTTGAATATGACTGGTACTGTTTTGCAAATGCGCTATAAGGTTTCAGAACATATATTTGTATGAGGGAGACCATTGGGGACCAAAAAGGAATTCTATTTTTACAGAACTTTGTTCCCAGAACTTATCTAACATTTTAATACAGTGGCTAAATCATCTTTTAGAATACGAGTGTGGTGCCCTGTAGATGTGCAATAAGGTTATGGATTTTTTATTTTCATCTCGGAAGCCAATCAAGGGCTGAAATTTTTTTTTGACAATAACCACCTTTCCAACACTCCTTTTAAAACATAATTTATGTTTTATCATTAATTTTATTTATTTTGGACTTGTTATGAATTTATTCTATGAAAAATTGAAATTAAGAAACCCATCATTTAACAGAGGAGAAAAATAGTTTAGATGTGCAAATCTTTAAAATACATTTTTATATCTTTCATCAATACGCTTGACCTCAGTAAGAATGTCTTGGGTTCAAGCCCCGTGATAACCCAAAATCGATTCAACAAAAAGTAACCTATAGTTACTTCGCCAAGTGCTTGGTACCATTGGAGTGAAAGTTGCAGGACTGATAAACTGAGGCCTCGTGTTACATCAGGCGCTGGCACACCAAAGAACCCCAACAGATCAAATGATTTAACAATGATGGAATATGAATAGAATCGAAACTGGGTGCCCTGAAAATTATAATAACAAATAATAAACACAAAGTTTAAAATAATGTAATATAATCTGTATCAATATAGTAATTACAATCTACAGTTTACAGATACACTGCATAAAGGAAGGTAACTCTATAGATGAATTACACATAATTAATTATCCCTTTCCAAATTACGTTTTAAAAATATTAAAACATTTATAGAACATAACTTATTTATTAATTACTATAATGGTTACACAGATTTCACTATTTCATAATTGTCATGAAACATATAATAACATTTATATCAAACCAATCTTTAGGATTGAGCCTGTGCCTTCCATAATTTTCAACATGGCTCACAGAGTGTTCAGAGTATAAAACTCCAAATTGTTAAAGTTTACATAAATAAACTTGAAGTCATCAAAAATATTTACATACTTAATAGTCGCCCGCGTGGCGCAGTGGTTAGAGCGTCTGCTCTAGATTCGCGAAGTAAGGAGTTGATCCTTACGTCGCGGGTTCGAATCCCACTGTGGGACGTGGAGATCGGTCCTTCGGATGAGACCGTATAGACAGAGGTCCCGTGTCGCAGTAGGTGCTGGCACGAAAAAGATCCCTCACTACTCAATGGCCGTAAGTGCCGAGTAAAGGACAAAATTTGCAGCTCGCCACGGGCAAGTGGTGGCGTCTCCATATGAGTGAAAAATTCTCGAGAGGGACGTTAAACAACATACAGACAAACAAACAAAACATACTTAATAAAATATGTTATTTATATAAAAGAGTTCCTCTTTAAATGTCTCACAAATTAGATTCTTACTGTGCATGTGCTATGAAATTTGGCGGAAATACAGACTTTACAGTTAAATCAAATATTAGAAATCATACCAGAATTGGTATGTAAATGTTAGCTTACCTTAACAGCAAGAAATATTGTCTCTGTCAGTGTCAAAAGTAAGATAGTGTGAATTCTTACGTTTGTAAGCCTTTTTGGTCAAATACTGGACAAGAAAAGACCAGAACAAACAATTTTGGAGGGAAAAATAATACACCAATAAAATACAACCTTACAAATACAAACCGATGAATACATCGAACCAAAGTCCAAAGACTAGAACCTTCATAACTCAAGGCAATAATAATAAGTCCATGTACTGCCTGTTCAACTTAGGGAATCTTTAAAGATTTAAAAGCAAAGTATTTATTTATGATTAAAAAACATGAAATAATGATTTGTTAAATAAATTTAACAATTCAGGTGCATACTGTGCAGATCGACTGTTTTTTTTTTTCTAGACGACAATCATGAATTTACAAAAAAGTGAAATACACATAATGAATAAGTGTTAAATGATTAATATTATTCCTAGAATTAAAATACATAAATTTACGAACGGCAATAATTGTGTTGAACTAAAAAAGAGTGATTGAAGGCATGCGTTTTTACTTGATATTTTCTTTGCTTTATTTCTTCACTACAATATTTGTTATATTACAGCTATCCCATCATCAGTGCCCAGTTTATCCACCTACTACGGCATGCAACTTACATCTTACAGTAATGATTTCATAAGGCATATTTATGAAGGCGATTTAATGAAATTCAGCTGTTATGTGTATCCATTGGGGAATCCACCAATTACATGGACATGGTTTTGTGGAGAAGAAGAGATGAAAAACGTAACATTTTCAAGCAGTAAAACCACTACTTATATGAATTTCACTGCAACACGAAAACACGACTGGAAGTATTGTTATTGTAGAGCGAAATCGCCTTCCCGTGTTTTATTCTACGACCATTTGTCTTCTTCCAGATACATGATGCGTGTTTATCGTAAGAAGTTGATTTTATTATCACTGATATCAACTATTATAAAGTACATGTAATTCATTCATTAGTTTATCACTTACACAACAAAGTACATGTTAAGTCAACATTTATTAACACAACACAATTTTTTTTAACCATTTTGATGCAATTAAATAGGTTTTTTGGTATTTGAGGAAATGCATCTTCCCTTGAGAGATCCTTCTTTTATTATACTCTCTTATTTTATTTCAGTCTTTGTTTTCAAAGTGATTTCAACGTGATTTCGCTGGTGGTTACACATTTTTCGATATTATCAGGACTTTTTAATATAAAAAAATTTAATAATCTTTTCTTACCTGCTTTTCCAGTGAATCAATTTCTTTTGCCTAATAAGATTTTATACAATAATATATGAAATTGCAATTTTTCGCCTCAAAATTAAAAATAAAAAATTCAGGACATTTCCGACTCAATTTAAATGGCTTGCTTTAAGTGTTTTTCAATGAACATCTGAATTTTTTGTATATATAATTTAAATTATTTTTTTTTTTCGAAATATTACTCGCAAATAATCTTTTAATTTCTTTCTCAAATTATTCCAAGATTTGAATTTCAATCAACATTGTTATATGCGTAAATATAATTCCTTTTGTTTGAAAATTTAGAAATATATAAGTTTATATAAATATCACTATACAACATACACATTTATTAATACAAGCAGTTATTGAAGATTACTTTTATAAGATTCGCCACGATCACGACCAAAGATTTATCCTTTGACTCCTACAACTGTACAGAGCGGTGAGTACATAAACATCAAGTGCAATCTCACGACAGTAGGCTATCCAAAAATAACATGGAGATGGATCTGTGGCGACCAGCCTCCCCAGAATGGGATGGACGAAGGAACAGAAACTTACTTGGAAATCAAAGTGACTCCACGTCACAATGGAAAGATATGCAGATGCAGAGGAATATCTTCACCATCCTCTTTCTATGCCTACGACGAGATTTCAGACGCTATAAAGATCACCGTTTTCTGTAAGATGCATTTAGTTGTACATTTTACATCTTCTAAATTAATGTAAAAAAACAACAACAACAACAAAATTTGCACAACGACAGTATAAGTAATTGATTATTATGCAGCTTTTTTCATTTGGAGGCTTTTTAGCTAAGAAACATACGATCTCAATTCATAATTTAATTTTGTTATTCTAAATGAGATATGCTTTGTTATGTACTGTGACATGTAAATACTACCAAGACATCCTTACTTTTATGATTTCTCATTCCTTAATATATCAATTATAATCAGTGTAATTCATTATTCAAAGGAAATAAATTAAGATTCAGTTCTAATTACAGGATATTATTTTTAATTCGTTTAGCCACAAGTAATGAAGACCCTCAATGCGTATCAGCTGCAGCATTTGGAACTACTACTGGTTTACTGGTGGCTATTATACTAGCGTTAATCACAGTCCTTTTATTACAGCATATCAGAGTGAAAAAAGGAGACCTGTGTTCCTGTGTAGTATCTGGTGAGACTTTTAAGAGAAAGAATTAAGAGGCAGTACTTAATTCACATTTCCTTAAGAAAATTAAAGTTCTTTTTCGTATCCTAATTTAAATTAAGAAATCAACAAAGCTCCTTTGCGTTAATATCTTTAAAAGAAATTGAAAGGCTGAATTTGTTTCCATTTAAATATATTTCAGCAAAGAAAGGAGAAGAAAAAACAAGGTAGATTCACTGTTTCAATCTACATGTAATTTGGTATAAATAGTTCTAAAAAGACAATCTTTATATTATACTAGTATTATCATTTTAGAGAATAAGAAATTTGTGTTGATTTTTGACTTACATTTGCTTACCTTAGTGAAAACAACAGTCATCAAAATCCGGAATATGTCAATGATCAATCCTACGAAGTACTCCAGGTTAACAGAAATAGACAATGGTAATTCTCATCTGAGTACATGTACATACAATTCTTCTTAATAAACAAATGAAGACATACTTTTAAAGACTTTCAAAAGAAAAAAAACAAATAAAAAAACTATAAAAAAAAAAAAAACATGATAACGACAAAAAAGAATGTTGGAAGATACCCTAGCGGGAACTGTTCTTTTTTTTTTAAAGTTGTGTAAAAAAAATTTAGATAGTTCATAACATGCCTAATTGCATTCAGGCTATTACTCGTGCGAAAAGGGAAACAACTTCATAATGAATTATCCATAAAAACTCTTGATTAAAATTGCTAAAGTCATCGAATGTTTTCTTTACGCCTTTGCTGACCGGGTAGTAGAAATGTATTTTCAAATTGTGCATTTAAGTAGTTCACAAAAGCATATTAGGTTAAAGGGTTTTGAGCTATATACTTTACTGACTGTATAATTGGGACGCATGGAAAGTGTTTGATAACCGCAGATCCTGAAGGTGCATAATTCTGAAATTAATTTAAAGCTCTTTAAAATCTTGTTGAAAAAGTATGTCTTTAAGTAAAAAGTCCATTTGAACATTTAATAAATTACATTATGATGAATGAAAAGAAGGACTAATTTGATGATATCTCTTTTTTTTCAGAACCTAGATAAATATCAGGTAAGAATTGTCTTTTAACTGATCTTTATTTGCATTGGTTTTGTGGTTTTTAAATCAACGAGATTTTTTTCAAACCCTTGAATTCCAAGAATTATGTTTCTTTGGCAGTGATATATTTTTGATAACATTCATAAGTTTCGCATAAAGTGAAAGGAACTAGGATAATTAAGCTTAGATTTATGTCGATATTTGTTATTCACAAAATGTTTATTATAGAATGACACTTGAAAAATTGATTAAAACTGAAAGGAAGTCTTTTTTTTTTTTAATAAGAATTAAAATTTTACGTGTATTCTATTATACTAATATCAGACTTGAGACTAAAACTCTTTCATGGTCCTGGACATGGTTCATATTTATATATGTCTACTTTGCGATGTTAGGCTTAAAATTTATTCAAAGATTTAGTATGATTTTCAAATCTTTTTTTAATCTTTATACTTACAAATTGTATCGTAATCAAAGCATGTTTTTGCGTATCGAATCAGTTGGTAGACCTAAACACCATATGCAGTTTAAATATTACTATATAAATAAGGGAAGTTGTTGATGGATAATGTCGGGATTACCTCTTCATCAACCTTTTTTGTATCATTTTCTATATAGGTCGCTTATACCAAAAACTCGTCAAAGTCTGCAGTTTTGTGATGTTGGTTGGTGACAGTGAGTGCTGGAATGTTATCATTGACATTGCCATTTGGAGAAGAAAATTAAAATGGAATATAACTATCTGTTGGTGCCTGACTCTTATCCTCTTAGTCTGAGAACCAGCATATTGTAAAATTAAATATTTTCCAAGGGGTCAAACATTCGAGGTTTGAGAAAAAATATTCGTTTAAGATTATTTGATTTCATGGTTGAATTTTTCAGAAGTATCACGAAAAACAACGAAAACTAACCCCCAAGAAAATAAGTGATTTCACAGTAATACCCAAGGGATACTTTTGCAGCGTTTACTGCCGCTCCGGAATCGGATCTATTGTTTGCTTTGGCGGCAGAAAGTGCTGAAATAGATAGGTTGTTATCATTCCAACATTGCAATATGTGGTCGTTACTTTAAACACACAAGAATTTTTTTTTAAAATATCGTTACAAATCATAGTAAAAAAGAAGGATTCCTTACGAGCTTACTTATGTAAGGAAAATATCACTCATATAAACCATATAATGAGATTCAATATAAGAGCGTGCATATGTTAATAAACAGATTTTATGAATAGTCATGATCATAAATCATGTCAAAAACAACATTATTTCTAGGAATGATTAACCTTGCTTGACTATGATGCGTTTTATAATTATGTCTATTAATTTCATTCAGTTATCATTGTGTTATTTTGTGATATTAAGCGTTGCTGCTGTTTTGTATAATGAACAACTAAACTCTAAAACATTTGTTGAATGAATTCCAAGATCTGTTTCATTGATATTCATTTGAACTGGTACTTAGTATTTGATGCAAAGATCTGTGTTTTGATAAAGTAAGTTTTGATCGACGTAATGAAAATATTCATAAGAGTTCAAGTTGCGATAGACCACTTTATTTTCTCTCATGGCCACGATATTTTGATATTCTGTTTTAGGGTAAAAAAAAAATTATGTGCTCTTAAATACTGAAACTGATGAACAATTCAGTTCATATGAACCTGAAGCACATTTGCAGCTCTGTTCTGCAGCAAGTCAAATAATAAAGAGGGTGTGTGTGTATAGAGCATTTATTACAAATGCCAAATGAGATTACAAATTTTACAATTTCAGAATGCAGCAGAAGGTGGGGCCCAAAAAATATCCCACACCTTATACAAAGGAAAACTAGTACATGTATTTTCTACAACAATAACAATATGCATGGAGGATTGAAGGGTTGAAGGTGGGTAAAATTTGTAAACCACCTTTTCGGAGCCAAAAGTAATTTTTATAAGGATGAGGCTAATAGCCGTAGCTAGATGGCGCTTAAATATAAAACCCGGAAAAACCCCTCAAGACCCATCAATTGACACAAAATAGTGATAAATAAAAATAACACAATCTTGTATGTATTTAGATCACATAAATTCATTTATATACATAAATACACATAATACAATACAGCAAGAGGTATGTTGAATGTTATGAATATACACATGTATGCTTATTTCTTTTTTTTCCAGAAATTTTCATATAATATTAGTTTTTCAATATCATTTTCTCAACATTGAACTAGATTTATCATAATGATTAATTGACTGTTTTACATCCCTTGTCAATTTTTTTCTACTCATACATTCTTTCCTTTATATGAGACGTCACACAGGGTTTCATATTTAGATCTTACCGAGGTATTTAGATCTTTACTTGGGCCTACCGATCATAAAGCGAGGGTCTTACCATTAGGTTACCCTGTACCATACAGTTGTCTGTACAAACATAAATCTAGCTCTCAGATATTGATAATACATATAAAATCACTAAACAATAACTATTTTTTATGTAAACAATTTGCAAATTCTATGGTCGATACAATGACCTTGGTGGGTCACCTGATTCATTCAGGTGACCTATTGCTATCTGTTTTTGTTCGTCGTCGTGCGCAGTCCTTCATCAGCTTCTTCTCTTGAACCACTGTACCAGTTTCAACCAGTTCAAGCATACAATATCAATGGATAAAGGGGTACAAAAATTGTGAATGTCATGGTCCCTGCCCCTGAGGCTTATGGATGGGAATAATACCATCAAAATTAGTGCTATGTTTTAAAATCTTCTTTGCTCTTGGACATCAAGCAGTCAAACTGTTGGCATGCGAATGAATGTAATAAGCATTAAGCCCTCTACCAAACTTGTGAAATTCATGGCCCCAAGGTCAGAGGTTCTGGAGTTAGGGATAGGCTCAAATGATCATATCGTGAAAATGCATATTTTGTTAAAAATCTTCTTCTCTACCTCTGTATATTAAGCAGAAAAACTAGGTGTATAGTTATGATGATTAAGTGTGTCACTTCCAAAATTGTGAAATTTTTGGCCTCAGGGTTGGGAGGGGGTATATTTTTAAAATGCTTTTTTTGAAAATCTCTGCTCCTAGATTTAAAGCAACTAAGTACATAGTTATGATGAGCAAGGGTGTTTCTTTCAAAATGTGAATTTCATGGTCCCTGGTTTCAGGTGTTAGGGCGGAGCCTTTTGATTATATAAAGAAAGTGCAGTATTTCTTTGAAATCTTCTTCTCAGCCCCTGGTTATATCTCAAATAAACTAAAAGCATGGTTATGATAAGCAGTGGTGCTTCTTTCAAAATTTCATGGCCTCTGGGTCAAAGGTTCTTGTGTGAGGGTAGGGCTCTAAAGATCAGATAGTGAAGATGCATAATTTGTTTAAATATCTTCTTCTCTGCCCCTTGGTATTTAGCGGGTAAACTAAGCCCTTGTAATGATAAGCAGGATTGCCTCTACTAAAATTTAAAGCATTATTTGAAAATCTTCTGCGCCTGGGTATATAACAGATAAACTAAGTGCAATGGTGCTTCTTGGGTCAGTGGCTCTGGTGTTAGGGCTTGGCGCTATTGATCATATTGTGAAAATGCATTAATTTTTCAACATTTTTTTCACACTGAGTTGTCTACAAATTATCCGATCATGACAAGGAGCATACGTCGGGTGTGACCTGTCAAGAGGACGTTTACCCCTCCATGACACTTGATCCCACCCCTGTGTTTTAGAGGTCCGTGTTTGCTCTGCTCATGCTTTGTATTGTTTCAATGGTCTTTTGAGCATGATAACTGATGTTATTTTCATATTTCGTCTTACTCGTTTCATTCTATAAATATGATTTACATAACTTTTTGGACAGGATTACATGTATTTAGTTTAATCTAGAACACAGTACAAACAAAACGTTTCTTGTTGTTTCCTAGCATCATTTATTGTGCTTTTTGATTTGTCATTTAAAAAATGTCCTTTTAGAAATTAAGCAACATTCTGAAGATATGAATTG